GCCTAGGCTGGCCTTTAAAGAGCCTCCTGCATTAGCCTCCCAAGTGCTCAAGCCATTTTCCACTCACGTCACAAATAGTAAAACAGCAGTGAGTACATTTCCCATTTCAGTATAAGTTGAAAACGTTAAACAAGTCCTTAATATGTGTCAAATTACTAAATACAGCTCTCTTACCTCCTGTAAGACATAAGCCTATGATGATCACTATAATAAGACCTAAGAAAATGGAGGCAATGACCATCCACAGTTTACACTTTCCAACCACTGTCTTGTTACAGGAACTCCAGGGACTTTCTTTGACAGCCTAGAAAGAAAAGGGAGATTGTGGGACAGTCACTTGGTTTCAACCAATATTTCCAATACCTACTAAAGACCAATAGTATGGAACTGAATTCAGCAGGCATCTAACCTCAAGGGGCTTCGTGTATGTTTACAAAATAAGGGCTGGAGAGTTGGCTCAGTGGTTAAGAGCACTGGCTGCTCCTGTAGAGGATCAGAGTTCTATTTCCAGCACCCACATGGCAGCTCACAACCATCCATAACTCCAGTTCCAGGGCATCCAGCCTCCTTTTCTGGCCATCTCATGGACAAGGGATGCATGCCACAAATATGCATGCAGTGTACACACACACACACGCACACACACACACACACACACACACACACACACGCACGCACACACACACACACACACACACACACCTGCAAGTAGAGCACACAAAATACCATACACATAAAATTAATAAACCTTTTTAAAAGTACATAGCAGAACAGAATGGAACCTCAAAAAGAAGTTAGCAGGAAGATTCTCAGGGGTTCCTGACCAGAGAAGATGGGAGGCAGGATTTTTATACTTACAGTTTTTTTAAAAAATGTATTTGTTTTTAATTCACACATTAAAAACTGCATATATTCATGAAGTTTACTGTGATTTTCAATACCTATGTGTCATGTATACAGATCAATCAGGGTAATTGGCATATCTATCACCTCAAATGCTTATCATTTCTCTGTGTTCAGAACATATAAAATCCTCTCTACTAGTTATTTTAAAATATACAATTAATTGTCAACCACAGTTACTCCACTGTGTCACAGAACACTGAAGTTATTCCTTCTGACCACTAGCACCCCTGTACCTTAACTACTCACTCTCCATCCCTCCGTGCCCTATACCCTTCCTAAGCTATGGTAACTATTCATTTACTCTCTACTTTCATAAGACCAACTTTTTAAACTTCAACATGTAAGTTAGAACGTGTTCGTGTTACATTTGTCTTTGTGTGTAAAAAACAGATTTTGAATGGATTACAAACCCAAGAAACAGCATGTGGTGATTCCTGACAGAACTGGCCAAGGCAATCTGAAGACCGGAATGTGTGTGTCCGAGTCAAGTGATGACATTAAGATTAGAGAGTGAGAGGCTGCAGCACACTGCAGAGGGTTTGTGTGTTAATTTTTTCTTGCTATATATAACAAAATACCCGAGAAAATCAACCAAAGAACCGACTTATTCTGGCTCTGGTTTTGGCTTAGGCTTTAATGGTTTCAGTCTGTGGTTGGTGGACTCCATGGCAGGACAAGCAGTAATGATCATTCATCTCATGGCAGTCAGGAAGCAAAGAGCGAAAGGGCGGCTGGAGCCGGGGCACAATAACTTCCCAATGATGCCACCAGACTATGAATCTGACCACGAATAAACCCATTAATGGAGTCAAAGTCGTCGTGATCCAATTACCTTTCAAAAGTTCCATCTCTGAACTTTGCTGCATTTTGGGAACCAAGCCTTCAACATGTGAACTTTGGGTGACTGTTCAACCACTAACAGTTTGGTGGCTGTCAGAGTTGGATTTAATTTGGTGTGTACTGGCGACCTGTTGAAGGCTTCAGGATGCAAGAATGGAGTTGAAAATTAAAAGAAAAATGATGCAAAGTATGAACTGAATACATCAAGAAAAAGCAGAAGTCTACTGTCACGGCCCAGATCCCACATAAAACAAGGTCTGGGAAGGGAATGACGGTCCACACACAAGGGACAGAAGACAATAAGCCGTAATGTGCTCAGCGAGGTAAAATATGGGGTCAAAAATTGATTACAATTGCTATAGTTCACTGAGCAGTGTCACTTCACTCAATCCTAACAAGACTCCAAGGCATGTGTTAACCAACGTTAAACACACTGTCCAGAGAAATTAATTAGGACTAATCCCTGTGGCTGTCATTGCAAAGCTGACAGGCTCTTCCTGTTGCATACAGTCCACTGACATCACGGTGTGGATCTCTGGGTCAGGAATGTGCCCGGCTGCCCTGGAAGAACGCCACTTAGTGCCTCCATCTGCTCTGAAATAGTTCCCAAGCTCTTCTACTTCTCTCGGGGCTGTTAGGTAATTCCTACATCAAGATCATGGAGAGTGGTGGAGTCTGACGGAAAAAAAAAAGATGTGTTTCTGAATCTGACGCCCCTGAGTTCCAATCTGAGGCATATTACTTAAAGGCATAGGATGCTGAGCAAACTGCTGAAACTTGTAGGCCCCAAATGTCTTCAGCTTTAAAGTACAGATGTTTCTCAATTGGCAACTGAGTTATGTACTACTAAACACAGCAAAAACTGAAAATGTGTTAAAGTTGGGCCTGGTGGCACAGGTGTAAGGCACAAGGTTCAATCTCCATGTACGACATCTACCTTGGCAAGCATCACAACTTAGCAACACAGTATGCCAGAGTACCACTTGTGTACCCTTGTGATTGGTGTTTAACTGGGAAACAGGGCTTTCAAAATCAACATCATATCACACATTAGAGCATCATATTCACGCATTACCAGCCAAGGGAAGGGTCACACTGGAATCTGAAGTACAGTTTCTAGTGAATAAGTATTACTTTCACACCATCATTACCATGTCGAAAAAGGTTAACAGAATTATGGAAAGTGAGGGACTATCCATCCAAATACTAAATCTAGCTGCATATCTGTTTCAGAAACTAGAGATGATATACACAAAGCATCTGTTTAGCAACTATAGGGTGCTCAAACCAGGGGAGCAACTGCACCTCAGTCAATATGCAGAGTACCCACCTGACCCGCAAGTGTCATACGCTGGGTCCTGACTTGTTTTTACTCTCCTGTCCTTATTATGGTGGTGGCCATCACAAAAGAAAACTACTAAATATGTTAGGACTACATTTCACATTTCCTCAGATACAGGTTCCTGTCACAATCACCTGCAGAAGATTTTAAGTGCCACAGAGCCAGGCCCCATATGCATCTAGAAGACTGACTTCTTGGAGAAGTGGGAACAAGGTCTGGCTTTTGAGCCTCCCAAAGTGAAATAAGTGCTTTGCCTAGTCTAATGTCTTGTCTACGCAAGAAGCCAAGTCAAACTTCCCTTCCTGCCTCCCCTCAGTACAACCTCTCAGTGAGTGAGTGAACTGTCCCCAGAGCTTACCTGCTGCTGCATTGACTGTCCTATCTAGTTTCAAGTTCAAATATAGGTGGAGAATGGATTTCTCTTCCTTGGTAAATTGAAACCACACACACACACACACACACACACACACACACACACACACACACACACACACACACACACGCGCACACACACACACACTGTGGTGCAGTGCAGCCAGGCACACCAAATGATTGACAGCTGAATAAAAAGCAATTTGCTCAATGGAGTCCACCTGCCAGGTCAAGGCTGGCAGTTGGGAAATTCTTGCACGTTCTCCTAAGAGTCTGTCATATACAATATTGAAGCTGTAGGTGTGGTAAGTAAGC